AAAAAGAAAAGAGAAGAAGTTAGTTTGTAAAGTTTTGGTGTATACCTGTTCTGGTGTCTTCTTCCTGCTTGGGAGGTGATTGCAAAGTGTTTCTTTCCAAAGGATAGTTTTTCCTGGTGTTTCCTTTGTATATTTCCTTTGGTTTTTCTTGAGTTGCCAAAAAAGGAAATTTTTGAAATTTTTTGTGATTTGCAGAAAGAGTTTTTTTTTTTTTAATGAATCTATTGTTTTATTTATTTTTATTGTTAATTTTTTTTAGGTAGATAATAATGAGAATATCCGGAGTAATAAAGAACATCATCTTAGACACTTCAGATGAGTTGGAAAAATATGGATCCAGAAGAACAGACCAAGCCATATTCAAGGTCTTGAAGAAAGTGGTGACAAAAAGAATACAGAAGGAAGCCCAACTGAGTCCAGGGGAGTGAATGTATGACACCTATCTGGGATTGTGATATCTTTATGCAAGTGTATTGATGTGATGCTGGCAGATACTCTGACCAGGAAAGCTTCTACACCAGGGCCATTGGGAGAAGCAGAGCAAAGATGGAACAGCATCAAGCACTGGATCAGTGGTAGTACAAAGGATTGGTGAGACCCATTTGTTTATAAAAATGATGATCAAAAAAAAGGGTAAGTTTGGAATTGCAGAGAAACCAATAACCCAATCCATGGTTATAAAACACCATAGCAACATAGTAAGAGAATGGAACACCTACCTGTTACCTGCGACAACCATTCCACAAGAAGTTCAAAGGCAGGGAGGGTACCTCTTATGTCCTGAATCGTCACAACCACAATGTAAGAAAAGAGAGAACTATCAGAAAGAAATTGTGGCCAGAAGCCTGCCAACCATGCATGAAGAGGAAGACCATCAAGAAGGCAAAGCTAGCCCTGGCAAAGCACTGATAAATATCAATGTCAGGATACCAAGTGACCTCGAGGAGATCTTGACATGTGCGAACAATAGGGAGGAGCCTGAGATGGAAGAAAAAGGAAACACAAAAGCGAGATAGTGTCTGAACCAGCTGCACTTGAAGAAATAATCAAGCTGGATACGACATTTACCTTTAACAAGAAGTCAACCCTGAGGAATAGCAATGTCGAGATGCTGAAGAACCGTAAGGAGAATGCAACCTGCACGAATAGGCAGGAAAGCAAGAATGAATTAGCATCTGAACCAGCTACCTGTAGTGAAACAATGGAATTAAAGACATCAGCCCTGTGAAAAGACAATGCCAGAATGCTAAGCAATGTCAAGGAGGCCCTAAGGCTCAAAAATAGCAAGTGGAGCTATGGAATAGAGGAAGAAGAGAGAAGTGAGGACAAGTTGGTTCCCAAACAAGCAATCTGTAATAATACACTTTGCTATGGAGGGACACTGGCTCCAAAGAACAATAATACTGGGACACCGAGTGACCGCGAAACCTCAGTACATGTGAATGACAAGGAAAGCTTTGTGATGAGATAAAAAGAGGAAGGCGAGAACAAATTAGTGCCTGAACCAATCACCTGCAACAAAAGGGTGAGACACTGGCCCCGAAGGACAACAATACTGGAATGTTGAGTGATCATGGACAAATTACAATAACCAAAAGCTGCGGAGAGAGTTGTGATGAGGAGGAAATTCTGGAAGAGGCCCTAAAAGAAGAAATATGGAAGGAACCAAAGAGAAATGTAACTAGGAGACCAATTGGGAAGGAAACAAAACTTATCAGTAAGAAGACACCAGCAGCAAGCAGTAATGACATCGGAGTACCAAGCAATAGGGTGGGAGCAAAGGCACTTGAAGCTAGCAGGAAGGGTGTTGATGCTATGGAAGCTGTGGGAGAATCAAGAAAGGATGGCAAGTCAGGAACCTCAGATCAATAAAGAGAGCGTTACGAAAAGGAGTGAAGAAACGATCAACAAAAAGACAAGCCACAAAACCCATGGGACAAAGTAGTGTCAGCCACAAAGAACAACGATGCCAAAATGCTGATGAGTACAAACATGGGAACACCGAGGAAATGGGAGCTAATGAGGAAACCCAAGGACGACAGGAGAAACAATACTATAGGAACAGAAAGAGAGTTAGTAATAGCCACGTGAAAGATAATGAGGAAGGAACGAAAAACAATGACATTGCAGAGACTAGGGCTTTGAAAAGTATCGAACTGGTATCAAAATGGTATCAAAAGATACCAACCTATAGTAAATTTAATATATGGGTTATGACCTACTCATATGATTTTATAGTAAATTTATGTATCAAACTGGTATCGAAGTGATATCGAAGTGGTATTGTTAGGAGCTACAAAGGGAGAACCAAGAGTTGACCTCCAAGATGATTGGGGCGAAATGGTAATGGTACCAACCGATGACATCATGACCACAAGTTGTGATGACCTGGAAGGACCTAGTAAAAAGGCAAATTGAGAGTTAGTCAGTGACAACCATATGATGAATAGTAAGGGAGGAATGAAAAATAATAACCTTGTGGAGATAAGAGGACTAAAAATTGATTCCTGAAACGATGAGGATGAAGTGATGAGGGTATGATCACTGACACCATGATCATAAGCTGTGATGGTTCAGGAGGATCATGCAAAAGAGACAATAGGCACCTGGGTACAAAAAATAGTAGCAATGGATGAACACACTCAAGAAGCTAATGATAGCATATGTAGACATTGTTGCAAAACTAATACACTGTGCCATTATAATAATTGTTATGATGGTTCTGATGAGTAATAAAACTGTCCCAAAATTTGAATGGCAAAAAAATCAGTTGGTGCAAAGAAAAATGGAAAAAAGAAAAGTATGTAACAGTTAGCAAACAGATCAAGGTGTTGCAGAGATCAATATATGTCATTTGAAAACAACAAATGTGGTGTACCGTGGATCAGCAACATAGTCCTGATGGTGCCAAACCTGATTGATCAAATTGGATATATGCACATACATGTTTGAAAAACAAGGTGTTAGCCAAGTATATTGAATGTCATACATAACAATCAGCATAATTAAGACTATACATGTTTCCTTATTACCATAAAAGGAAATTTGATCGACAATACAATCCTGAATTAAATACGATTTCCTTAAAACAAACCAATTTTTCATTACTATAAATCTAAATATAAAAAATGACTACATAGTAACAAGGCCAAATAAAGTATCTATTATCTTCTAACAAAAGCATAAGTATTCTATTAGTCCTGATTGAAACTCTAGCCATAGTTAAGAGCAATATTTACATATCAATCTCCTTGATAATTTACCAGATAATTATCATAAAGTTGTAAAAAATTTTATAAATTAACTTGATTTTTCAATTCCTCAAAAAACAACTTACATTTAAACAAATTGTTGATTTGATTAATATAAAGAATAACTTAAATATAACTGATAATTCTGAAGAAGAAACAATTCTTATTAAAGTAAACAAGACTTGAAAATGTTTAGAAACTGTAATTAGTTTTTTTCAACAACAATCTAATAATACAGAATTTAATTTTGATAATTTATCTATTTTTCAAAGAAGATACAACTTTTTTACAACTTTTTTTATTTTATTTTTATTTTATTTTTTTAAGGGCTAAGGTGCAATACACCTGAGAATTTTATTATAGGTCAACAGATTACAAATAACCATTGCATGAACAGTTTAATTTAACTGACACACCACTCTTATTCTAACCCAAGTACCAGGTTACACCATAAAGGTTGGTTCATATTTGAATATGAACTTTAGAAAGCTTTTTTGTTTTTTACTTGTTTAACCATTACTAGGGTTTCCTATCACTTTATTTTATGACCCATATACTGAATATTATGGAGCTTACTTTTTTACACTTTCTAATAAATGCTCCAAAAGTTTGTTCCTATGGTTGGCATATATTATCAAATCTGGGGGTTCTTTACCAAGTAAGGCATGATTCCTAAATCTTCTAATAGATACTCCATAAGTCTCTTAGTTAGCTTTAGCTATCAAATCTAAAACTACAAATGTCAAGCAGAGCACAACTCCTATAAAGTGGCCAAAAATCTTCAAGTATGCCTATAAAGTTTCAATTTGATTTAAGTAATCATTTTTAAAGTTTCCTAATGAAGTTAACAAATTTTTTGTTTTATAGTCTTGTATATTATAAGGAAGGAAATGATTAATGTGGAACTGGAGAATACATCAAATACAATGTCGATCATTATAATACTAACCAGATGATCAATACTTCACAACACCTTAACTGGAGATCACAATCTCAATGCCTGTTGGATCAACGTATGGAATGGCTTCATATGAGAAACAGTACTTAATAGGTTATGGAGTCAGATACCATATGGGTATCATTTAACTACTTATATATGAAGTTGAATTGGAATCTTGTGATCTGATCTGTGAAGTACTAACCACTGTGCTATAGACTCACAGGTTTAAAAATTTTTATTTATTTAAAATATTAATAAATAATTATATTTATGATTTTTATATTTGAAAAAGAATCAATATTAATGTTAAAAGAAACAAGATTAGAAATTGAATCTTGTAAAAAATTATTATATTTCTTGAGCTTTTTATTTTTTAATAATTATAAAAAATATAGTACAGCAGTATAGATTTGTATATATTGTATATATAATAGATATGATTCTAAAAATTAAAATTGAACAGAATCGCAGAAAATCACATGAGATTCAAAACACTATTAAAAATGATGATGGAATATATTCCACTTATTAAATTTAATATAAATTTAAGAATCTAATACAGAATTGAAAAGAATCATTAGGATCCTTAATAATAAAAAAATATATAATAGTGATCATGAGAAATGACAATTATTTTTTTAATAAATTTTTATAAATAAATTAATTATATAATTAATATAAATAATATTAAAAACTTGATCTGGATCCATAGCACAGTAGTTAGTACTCTACAGATCAGATTACAAAATACCAGTTCAATTTCAAGTAAAGGCAATTGAATAAAATTAATATAATATCTGGCCCTATAACTTGTTAAATGTTGTTTTTCATAAAAGAGATTATGATTTCCAGAAAAGATGCCATGACACAAAGATCATCCAAGTGATATCATGATGATTGTCAGAAGTATACCAATAGTAGTTGGACAATATGGTAAACTATTGATGTTTTGATTTTAATAGTGATTAGAGCCCTAGCCTAAGCTATTCCAATCTAGTGCAGAGCTTAATTGATTTGAAAAATAACCAGTTGCAAGTAGTGAGAAGGATTTAGTCTTGTATTTAGAAGTCAAAGGCCAACAAGAATGTAATCTGAGGTCTGGGTGATAAGATGAAAAGGCACTTGAACTAATTTTCTAATTAAAACTTATTTAGGCAAAGCTGGATCATATAAGTTAAGTAGTTATAAAAACTAGTGGTAGGATCTCTATACTCTATAGATTTCTCCTAATTATTACAGGTTTTTAAGCAACCAGATGTAAGGTGAGATATAAGAGATAATCTGTATAGAGTATATAATATACTGATTTATATGAGTCCTAATACTGCAATTGTAATTAGTATATATCAGGAAATTTTTGGGTAAAGATTTTTAAAGATCTTTGGGTGTAAACCTTTGTAGATCCTCCGCCATCATTAAAAGACTCCAGAGCAAAAATTAATATATTCAACTCTGGAGATCTTTGATTTATTTTAATAATAATAATTTATATATATTTACATATTATAATTTAATAACATTCAATTTAAAATATTTAATTGGCTTTAAAATTATTTTATTTATTATATAATTTTTATTATTTTATAATTCTTGTTTATATTTATTTATTAGTTTAAATCTTCGCTTATTGCCAAAGTCCTCTTTCTAATTCTTCATTTTCCAGTAGTAGTCTCAGATTATTCTTAGTATTTTCACAGTCCTTCAGATTAACTTCTATAGTAATAATTTGTGGATCAGTCATTTCTTTATCTTTGCTACTTGAATTTTCTTCTTCAAATCCAAGTCCTTTTTTAATTCTCTCCTAAAAATATTATTAGCAATAATTTATAATATTTTTAAAACTCACCTTATTTTTTTCTATTTTGCTTTTAATTAACATTTCATTTATCAAAATACTTTCATTATTCAGATCAAGGACTGTTTGATATACTGTGATAGCGAATGCCACTTGTTCATCAGAAGCATTTTTCTTTGGCTAGACTTTTTCAAAAATATGGTCCATCATACTTTATTTCTTTTTTTGGACAGTTGTGAAGGTTTTCAAAGTATTTGGCAATCTTTTGAATTTGTTTCCAGGCCAAAATATCAGCAGCAATTGCATTTCTATTTATTGTATCCAAACACTCTTTACCAAAAATCAAAAACATGGCATCACGAATTTTTGAAGCATTAGTCCCACAAAGTGATTAATGCTATTTCATGGCTTTTAACTGAAAAACTAAAGTTATTTGTATTTATAAGAATTATTACTTGATAAATATGCTTTCCAATATATGTTTTTCAGTATTTCTTGTGAGGCCTTCATAAAACTCTAAATGTTTTTGCTGAAAAAATTTCTTGGTTGTTCAATAAAAATCTTTATGTTCCAAGTATATTTTTTCAAAAATACTTGTTTCATAATACTCTTAACTGTGCACTTTAAATAAAATATAAGTTTTCATGAAAAAATTCAAATGAACCTTACCTCAATAAAATCATGTTTGGTAATTAAATATTGACTTATGTGAATTTCATTTTCTAGGTGGGTAACCTTATCCTCTATAATTTTTTGCTGCTCTAACAATTGATCGATTTTTTTATGAAGGCTTTCATGGGACTTCATAATTCTTTCGATAGCTTTATTAGGAACTAAATATATAAATTAGCATTTATTTTAAATTATAACAAATTTTTAAATATACCTAAAGTTTCTTTGGACATTTTCTATACTGGTGTGTCAAAAGAAAATTCGAAAAAATATCCAGGGAATCTCAATCATTTCCAAGATGTTTCTGTTTCCATTTCAATAAAAGTCAAGGGTCTTCATTTAGTAGCTGGCTCTTGCACTCTTTGCCTTTTTAGAAGACTTCAAAATACTTGACTTTTATTTTTATTTTTTGGCAAAACCAAAAATAAGTTTTTGAAATATTTTATGCATTTCTTGTTTTTTGTTTGACATTAATAAAAAAGTGAGAACTTTAAAAATCTTATATAATACAAATTCCAAGAAATTATGTTATATAATGACTGCAAACTTTTCTTTGACACCTTTTGAAAATTGCTTCATAAATATAAATCATTAAGCCATTATATGAAAATGAAATCATTTTATTGACATAATTATTACAACTTATAAATTAAATTTTTGATTGGTCAAAATTAATAAATATATTTTATTGGTTAATTTTACGCATTTTCTAGATTCCTTCAAAGACTTTTAAAATAAATTACAAATGTCAATTTTGTTA